AGCAAATGTACTGACATTCGCAGCAGTGAGGATCAAGTCGCAGACCTAATTCAGGAGATGGCCATCGAGGCAGGAAATGCAGAAGATGTGATTCGACAGATTCTTCCCTCTTTCGTCATCATGCGCCACCTCACCTCACCCGACCCCAACCCTACAGCCTATTCTCCCACCCATTCGATAGCTGAACAATTCCTGCCCAGATCCGCCTCCTTTACACAGATGGTGACCTTGAGTCTGAGTGTGTGTGTGTGTGTGTGTGTTTCGTTGGTACAGATTAAAGGGGTGTAGGGTTAGCTTTCCTGTCCGTCTGGCCAGCGGTCTGGCCCTGCCTCACGGGCCATTGCACAGCGCAAACCATTCAAGCATGCAGATAACGCCCAAGTATCAGGTAGTTAGACAGGGAGGCCAAGTGTGGGCATGTGTGATTCTTCGGAATGGAGCAGGATGGAGTTGGGTCTGGAAAATGGAGGAGAGCACAGAGAAGGAGGGGAAGGAGATTGGGCGACAGGATGGAGAGGGACTGATTTGGGAGACAGATTGCGCATCAGCATTGGTATGGAGGGGGATGAGGCAGTAGTGGAAAGGAAAGAAAGGGCGAGATAGTTTATAGCAAAAGAAAATTGAACCTCTTGCTCGATTTGGTAGCATTCAGCATTGCTGGCTGTGGAGCTGCCAGTAGGTCTAGTCACCTGTCATGCGATAAACATAAAACGAGATGGACTAGTCTAATATTTTTCGAATTCCTCCTGAAGGTATAAGCAAAAAATTGCAAGGTTAGCATATAGGCAGACGGATGGGCGGATGAAGCGATAGCTTAATGGATGGATTGATATCTGAGGCGTATAGATGGATAAATGAGACGGAAGGGTTTCCCCATTTTGGTAAGGGGTTGACATGGAAGATTTCACATTTAAGGCACGAGAAAAAAGTTTGGAAATTTGGGTAAATGAGCAGTTGCTGCAATACTGGGATGAAGATGGGCAAACAAGTCGCTAATGCTTCTCCACTCAATCGAGAGAAACCGAGACGTAGCCTTATAATTAAATTTCCTCTTCACATGGAACAGTATGATTTTCCCCTCCTATTATGTGATTGTGCGTATGACTATAATTGCAAGTGCTTGGGCAATGGGGAATCTGTTTCAGAATTGGCGAGCAAGTGAGGCGAAGCATTGTTCTTCGACTGTAATGGATAGGCAAAGTCAAATGGTCCCATCACTCCAAATCAGCTTTTAAGGGCAAGGCAAATGAAAAAGGGAGCATGAAAAGTATGGTTGAGGGAATAGTCAGTGCTTCACTGAAGGAACTTAATAAAGACTTGACCAAATACGGTTTAATCCTTCTTCAAACAATGACATCTTTGCTATGGAGACTCCGATCACTTCTGGCCGATGTTTTGAGCCTAACGAGCAAAGCTAAACAAGTATCAGGCTTGATTCTAGAGAAAAAAGGTCCGATTTAAGAAGAGCTTTTGAACAAAACGAATCTTCAATGAGCATCCAGAGTTGCGTCTGAAGGTTAACAATAACGGGACCTACTAATTGCGCCGGGGGCAAATAATGAAAGGCCTCGATTCGACGAGGAGACTCGATGTTTGCTTCACAAGCCTACCGTAGGCTCAACCCTGACAAGTTTTCACCCGCAACCATCTCCAACTTGCACTGACTTTGGCATGCCAAGTAGTTAACATGTCCTCTGCTAGACCACATTGTCTTAGCGTCGGGAAGCACTGCTGTGGTTAGATGTTAATGAATGCGCAGATTAGTCATACGATGGCGAACCCACCGAAGTCCAAATCTTTCTACTTTGGCCCTCATTCTAACACAAAACTAACCGGTGGTTTCATCATGTGGGATCATCAGAAGAACATACTGATGGGGCTCCTAACACACATTCTCGTTTTTTCAGTGCTGGTGGCTTGCGTATGTTAAAAAATACCGGTAATTCGGAAATAAGAACTTATTGGATGCTAAGAGTAGCTGAGTTTCGATGTATATCTTAAAATAGCATTGTTGGGCAGACTTTTATTTCGTATTAAAGTGCATGAAGAAGACCGATCTCATTAGAATACGACGGCTGATTCGTGTTGTACCGCAGCCGTCCGATTTTAATACGACGTTTAGATTGACGTAGTTCACGAGATATCCTCCATCGAATATGCCATCGTCTAGAGAGAAATATGACCCATTATCGGGATCCGATTGCAACAAGATTGTATGCTCCTGTGATCGAGGTTATGTTGTT